GTGGGTTCTGCTGGAGAGCCGGCCTGCAGGCTGAGCGCCTCTCCTTCCAACAACCCTCCGCGTGGCGAGGGGGACACCATGGGTGTGTCCCACCTGGAAAGGGGGCGTGGCTAATGAGAGGGGCAGGTCCAGAGGAAAGCAGGGGTTCAAATCCCAAACAAGAGCTGGAAAGGGGGGCGAGGGAGGGACAGAACACGAGGAAGGCGGTCGAGGTCTGCACTAACGGGAGCGCAGTGACTCGAGGTGATCGGGGTGATCGGAAGGCCCAGGCTGTCACCGAGGTGCCCCTGTGCTACAGCCGTGGGGACGTCCAGTGCAGGTCACCACAGCGCAGACAGCGCGGTGCCGAGTTCATTAAACCTGCGCTCATGGGCGGCCAGGCGGAACGGCGCTGGCTCTGGGCGCAGGTTCCAGGTGGTTGCAGGTCTGTGCGTGTTCCGAGCATCTGAGGAGAGCAGTTCTTCCTGAGAGCGAGCAGCCCCTCCCGGCTCCTGGACCAGCTCCGGCGCCAGGCTGCGGCCGCGTCGTTTGATGACCATCTGTCTCGGGCCTCCCTGTGCGCCAGGCCCGTGGGGACCCGCTCCCTTCATAGGAACAGGTCGGGGGCCCAGGGGCGGGCAGAGGGGACGCGGGGTGGCTGCCGACCGGATGCGGGCTCCACTTTGGGGGACGAAGAGCTTTGGAACCGGAGAGAGGCGGCGCTCGCTCCTGTGAATGTACTGAATGCCACTGCGTTGGGCATGAGAGTGGCTGGTTGTATGTCCCACGAGTTTCACCTCCACTTTAAAGAAATGGGGATGTCCGACCAGCGTGGCTCAGCGGTCGAGCATCAACCTATGAACTAGGAGGTCACGGTTCGATTCCGGTCAAGGGCACAGGCCCGGGTTTCGGGCTCGATCCCCAGTGTGGGACGTGCAGGAGGCAGCCGATCAGTGATTCTCTCTCATCATGGATGTTTCTCTCTCTCTCTCCCTCTCCCTTCCTCTCTGAAATCAATAAACATATATTTAAGGAGAAGGGGATGGTGATGTCCTCTTCTCGGGATTGGCGGGGGCTTCTGCGAGGCCCTTTGAGAAAAATCACCAGCCCAGGGTCCTGTTTGTCAGAACTCGGGTCCTCCAAGGGCCCAGGAGACCCGATCCCACTCTCAGGCAGCGGCTTTACGACCGCCTCCAGCCGGGAACATCCAGTCCCGTCCTCGGGAGCCCACATTGGAGGGGAGAGAGGAGAGAAGCTCCTGAGACAATGGGTGGCCTGCCAGGCGGTGAGGGTTGCTGCAAAGGAAAATCAAGCAGGGAGCAGGGGG